AGGAAACAAAATATCACAGCCTACATGCTGTTCTCTTAAATCAGCCATCACAATAAACGAGATTTGAGCAAAACTGGTTTTATAAAAAATTCACTGTGACCAGCGAGAATCTTCCCAGGCGATGCCACTTGGTGCACTAACTCAGTGTGAGTTGCTTGATGCTCACCTACTGGGGAAAAATATGTATAATGAAAGGCTCCACTGGGTGGAGGCTTCCGTTTTTTGGGGGGTACCCCCTTGTATAAGTATTGCATTTAGAAAGAATTTTTAAAATATAGGACAAAGGATAATTAATGTGCATATTATAGAAGCTGAGTATATATTATGTATGCAGAATAATGGGATATGCTAATACAATATTCATTAATGGAAGGACAAGACCACAAATGATTAACACTAATTAACTCTGAATGGTAGGAGAATGGGTGAAGTTTTATTCTTATATTGATTTCTCAAAGTTTTCTAGAATTAATATACTGTATATAGTTGAGTGCAAGCACACCCGAATATCAGCCAGGGCACCTAATTTTACCACAAAAATGGCATAAAAAATGTGCTGAAAAACTTGGCTTATACTTGAGTATTTACAGTAATTGTATTGCTGCAACAAAATGTTTACTTTTAAAGAGGGAAAATGTCTGCCCCAGAAAAATTAATACAATGGAGTTTCCTGGCAGATGTTCAACACTCTAAACCAGCGGTTCTCAACCTGTGGGTCTCGACCCCTTTGGGGGTTGGAGGACACTTTCACAGGGGTTGCCTAAGACCATTGCAAAACATAAATATTTCACAATATACAATTGCATATTGTTTTGTGATTAATCACTATGCTTTAATTATGTTTACTTATGTTTGATTTGTAACAATGAAAATATATTCTGCATATCAGATACTTACAATACAATTCATTAACAGTAGCAAAATTACAGTTATGAAGCAACAATGAAAATAATTTTATGGTTGGAGGGTCACCACAACATGAGGAACTGTATTAAAGGGTTGCGGCATTAGAAAGGTTGAGAACCACTGCTCTAAACATTTATCTCAAACTGTCTTTTTCCTCTTGACATAGATCTTGTTACTGTTGTTACACACACACACACACACACACACACACACACACACACACACACACACACACACAAGAAACTCTTCCCTCCACAATTAAGCCTCTTCTTGCCCTCTCCAATTTGATAAAAAATTGAATTTCAGATTTCTCCTGGAATTGAACTCGGTTGGGTTTCCTAAGCACAGCTGCTATCTTTTCTCCTGAACTCAGGTTTTTTTTGGATCGCCTTCTGCTTTCTACTCTGAATGCATACAACTTTAGTGCCTTTCAAATGATGTAGGGTGAATATTGCCAGAATTTGTCAAAATCTCTATTGGAATGGCCTGAGCTTCAGACCTGAATGACCTGCTACCCACACTACATCTAGTAATTCTGGGATATCTCTCAACAACCTTCAATAGTGACCTGTACTTCTCTTCACATTTTTATGCAACCCAAATTTACTACAGACCCATCAGAAATAACCGTAGTGATTTTGTCATTAGGATAATCTTTAGTCATGTGTGAAGATGTGCAGAAGTGCTTTGAACACTTCCCTACTTCTTTATTTTGAGTCATAATCCATAATGAAGGCTGCCATCCTAATCTTTATCACCAAGGGCTTCAAGTCCTCCTCCCTTTCAGCGAACAAGGTTGTGTCATTTACACATTACAGGTTATTAATAAGTCATCCTTCAATCCTGATGCCACATACTTCTTCATATAATCTAGCTTCTCTGATGATTTTCTCAGCATACAGATTGAACAAGTATTGGGAGAAAAGGCAACCCCAATGCATCCCTCTCCTGATTGTAAACCAAGCAGTATTCCCTTGTTTTACTTGCACAACTGTCTCTTGATCCATGTACATCAGCATGAGCACAATGAAGTGTTCTGGAATTCTTATTCTTCTCAAAGTTATCCATAGTTTGTTATTATGCACATAGTGAATGTCTTGGCATAGCTAATAAAACACAAGTATATATCTTTCTGGTATTCTTTGCTTTCAGCCAAAACCCATCAGACATCAGTAATGATATCCCTTGTTCCATGTCTCCTGACACAGGCCGGAACCTCTGGTAGCTTCCTAGCAATGTTCTGCTACAATCATTATTGGATGATAATCAGCAAAATTTTACTTGCATGGTTTATAATTTGCTGTTGGGTCACCTTCCTTTGGAATCAGTACAAATATGGATCTCCTCCAGCCAATTAGCCAACTAACTGTCTTCCAAGTTTTCTGGTATAGACGAGTGACTACTTCCAGTATTTCCTTCTTTTTTTTGTTGTTTAATAATTTTTATTAGGGGCTCATACAACTCTTATCATAATCCATACATACATCAATTGGGTAAAGCATATTTGTACATTCATGGCCCTCAGCATTCTCAGAACATTTGCTCTTCACCCATACTTCCAGTGTTTCATCAGTCTGTTGAAACATTTCAGTTGGCATTCCATTAATTCCTGGTGCTTTATTTTGGCTAATGCTTTCATTGCAGCTTGAACTTATCATTTCAGTACCATTGGTTCTTACACATATGCTACCTCCTGAAATGGTGGAATGTGGGCTGGTTCTCTTTGATACAATGGATCTGTATTTTCTTTTCTTGTTCTTTCAATGCTTCCTGAATCATTCAACATTTTGCCCAGAGAATCTTTCAATATTGCAACTTCAGACTTAATTTTTTTATTCAAATTTTTTCACTTTAAGATATGTAGAGTGTATTCTTTTGTTTTGGTTTCTTAACTCTAAGTCTTTATAATATTTTACTTTGTCTTCTTGAGCTGTCCTTTGAAATTTTGTGTTCTGCTCTTTGACATCATCATTTATATCATGTACCTTAGCTACTCTACAATAGTTTCAGTGTCTCTTCTGACACACATGCTGGTCTTTTCTTTCTTTCCTAT